AGGAACCCTCCGCCATACAGGTCCCCTCCTCCCCCCCCCCCTGGCAGAGATCCGCTCCCACTCCCAAACCCTGACGCAGGCGAGCGGGCAGGGAGAGCTCCTGTGCCTCACCTGGAATCAAACTTCGGGGTGAGCAGGGGGGTGGCGCCTTGGAGGGCGGCGGAGCGGGCCGCCTCCCTGGCCGACGGCGTGACAAAGTTACCTTTGCTGGACCTGCGGAGAGAGCCACGCGTGAGCCGCCTCCCTGGCCACAGGAGCCCCCGCCGGCCTGGGCATAGCCGAGCCATGCACCCCCCCAAGCTCCCTGCTCCGGCCCACCCTTACCTCCTGCTCAGGCGCGTCGACCTGGCCGGGGGAGGCCTGCCCCGCTTGGACCGTCGGGCCTTTTTGGCGGTGGTCTTTGCCTGAAAGACACAAGAAAGCACTTGACCTCCGGGCCCACCTGGCCAGCAATTCCCAATTCTGCCCCACGTATGCAGAGCTATACCAGGGGGCCAGACGCTAGCCCAGAGCCCAGCAAGGGGTACACAAGAACACGAGAGAAGAAGCCAGTGCTGGATCAGGCCAATGGCCCACCCAGCCCAACACTCTGTGTCAGGCAGTGGCCAAGAATACCAGGTGCCATCAGGAGGTCCATCAGTGGGGCCAGGACACCAGGAGCCCTCCCACTGTTGCCCCCCCCCAAGCACCAAGAATACAGAGCATCCCTTGCCCCAGGCCAAGAGTTCCTATCTATACCTTGTGGCTAATAGCCACTGATGGACCTCTGCTCCATATGCTTATACATAAGAGAGAAGCCAATGTTGGATCACGCCAATGGCCTATTCAATCCAACACTCTGTGTCTCACGGTGGCTAGAAATACCAGGTGCCATCAGGATCAGGCCAATAGCCCATCCAGGCCAATACTCTGTGTCAGGCAGTGGCCAGAAATATCAGGTGCCATCAGGAGGTCCAGCAGTGGGGCCAGGACACTAGAAGCCCTCCCACACTTGCCCCCTCCCAAGCACCAAAAAGACAGAGCATCCCTTGCCCCAGACATAAGAACATGAGAGAAGCCAATGTTGGATCAGGCCAGTGGCCCCTCCAGTCCAACACTCTGTGTCACACAGTGGCCAGAAATACCAGGGTCCATCAGGAGGTCCAGCAGTGGGGCCAGGACACTAGAAGCCCCTCCCACACTTGCCCCCTCCCAAGCACCAAAAAGACAGAGCACCCCTTGCCCCAAACCGAGAGTTGCTCTCTGTATCTTGTGGCTAACAGTCACCGATGGACCTCTGCTCCATATAAGAACATAAGAGAACCCCATGTTGGATCAGGCCAATGGCCCATCTAATCCAACACTCTGTCACACAGGGGCCAAAAATACCAGGGGCCATCAGGAGGTCCAACAGCGGGGCAAGAACACTAGGAGCCCTCCCACTGTTGCCCCCCCCCCACAAGCACCAAGAAGACAGAGCATTGCTGCTCCAGACAGAGTGTTTCCTCTATACCTTGTGGCTAAAAGCCACTGATGGACCTCTGCTCCATGTGTTCATCCAGTCTCCTTTTGAAGCAGACTATGGTTGTAGCCGCCGCCACTTCCTGCGGCAGTGAGTGCCACGTGTGAATGACTCTTTGGCTGAAGAGCTGGGAAGCTTTGCTTGAGGCGGCGGACGTCTAAATACTTCGGCCTCCCCTGCCCATACTGCCCACGGCATCTGCTGCCCGCGGGGGGGTCCTTATCCATGCCAGCATATGCCCAGCATCAGACGGCCCCCGTGGATCCCGGAAATTATAATTTTCTGCTATTTGTTGCTGGTTTTCGGAATTTTAGCTCTGTATGAATTGTACTTGTATTTGGATTTACTACTACGCTTGTATTTTGTGGGGAAGGCCGGATATAAATACAACAACAAAGAACTTTCTTTGATCTGTTCTAAGTCTACTGCTCACTTGTTTCAATGAATGCCCACGAGTTCACGTATTGTGAGAAAGGGAGAAAAGTCCTTCTTTCTCTGCCTTCTCTGTTCCATGCACAAGGAGGAGCAGGAGGAGGAGATTGGATTGATACCCCATGGCCCTTCACTACCCAATGGAGTCTCAGAGTGGCTGACAATCTCCTTCCCCTTCCCCTCCCCACAAGACACCCTGTGAGGTAGGTGGGGCTGAGAGAGCTCTGACAGAAACGGCTCTTTGTCAAGAATGGCTCTTATCAGAACTACGGCTTGCCCAAGGTCATCCAGCCAGGTGCAAGTGGAGGAGGAGTGGGGGAATCAAACCCCCTTCTCCCAGATTAGGTTTACAAACTCCTCTCCCTTCCCCTCCCCTGTGAGGTAGGTGGGGCTGAGAGCTCTTGACAGAAACGGCTCTTTTCCAAGGACAGCTCTTGCCAGAACTAGGGCTTGCCCAAGGTGCGAGTGGAGGAGGAGTGGGGGAATCAAACCCGGGTCTCCCAGATTAGAGTCAGCACACTTAATCACACCCAGCTGGCTCACAAAGAGACACAGTTTCCCCCTTATGCAGAATCCGGATTCCCAAAAGCTGGAGACTGTGGCTGGGAGCCCAGCTGCTCGTGGTGCTGGACTTTGCACCAGCCAGCAGAAACCTTGGTGCGCCTCCACCAAGCATCACCACTTGCACTGGCTCCCTCCCAGTCCTTGCACAGGAGCACAAACCATGCTCCCGCAGACCCGACCCCCACCCCCCTCGGCTGTGAGTGCAGAGGGGCTTCCATGCTCCGAGGGCCGGTGAAGGACAGAGGGCAGCGGCATCTCCCTCTCCCCCCCCTCACGGCAGCGTCATGCCCACCACCGGCTGCAAGTGATT